ACATAACAAATATAAATACATATTAAAACAAACAGAATTTTCCCAATAAATTCCTTCCCTGAGGAATCAAAGTAGTTTTCAGCTATTAACCAAGATCCAAAAATCTGCAAACAGTTTGGTGACACAGAGTGATTTGTCCAATGTTAAGGAAGAAATCCGTGGCACAATAGGGAATTGTGGCACTAAGAGTAAGAACTGTGGCAATAAGAAATCTGTGGCACTAATAGTCCTATTACATTTCTTGCTTCTTTGTCTTATTCTTTAAAACCATTCTTCTAAGAGATTGATAGCAATTAGTCTCCATGGAACCATGGAACCATTTAATGAATCATACAACAGGAAAAGCCTACCTCTAAAAAAAAATTCTTTCCTGTTTCAGTAGTATATTTGTAATGCACAGTGACAGAAGACCGGAAAAAGGGACATTTCTCCTGAGTGGGTTGATTAATTAACTTAAATTGCCTGAATTCAGTCCAAGAAATCTATGTCAAGGAGGAATCCTGCACTGTTTTCCCTAAGTGAGCTTGGAGTAGTCCCTCAAACACTTTATCTCAAGAGCACAGAAGGAATTTATGAAGCCAGGTATGAAATTGGCCTTTCTGAGCAATAAAGTAATCCTTGATGCACATCATGAGCCAAAGAACAGGCATTGTGTTTATCAACTCAGGAAATGGGGATGAGAAGAACATACAACACAAACATTATCAAAACTAAGAATATTTGTTTTGTCTGGAAGAGGTGATTTACACAATTTCTACAGTTATATTGTTTCCTGTTTGATCAGAGATGATTCTGAAGTCTAGGCTTTTATCCAAATCCCCAGTTTTCTAAGGCTTAGAAGGGGTCAGAAATGAAATTTAGTTCACAAAAGTTCTTGTTAGTTAATAAATTCTAAAAAGTTTAATTTTCTAGGGACAGCTAAATACATCATGGATTTTTTATTAAAAAAATATTATTAAAAACATTGTTTTGACTTTAAAAATAACTAGCAGTCTTTAAAAGTCAACATTAGAGACTAGATAATCCAGAAGCTGGGCGTATTATTATCTGAGTTTCCTAAAACATGTAAGTGGACTGTAATTGAAAAGGTTTGGGAAAGTTTGTATTGCATCCATTAGTTTTTTCTATGTAATCAGTATGGGTTAGGAGCACCCATTGTGCTCCATATTGGCACTCAGAGTACTCAGTGGCTTCCAAAAATTCACATACTACCTACCACTCCTTGTAAAAGTCCACTGCTCATTGGCAAAGCAGTTCAAGACTAACCCAGATGCTAAAACTTGTTGAAATTTTGTCCCTTCACTTACCTGTAGTGTCTTTGTGCCATCCAGTATCATCTGCAATCTGGCACTGTATAAAACATTATTTTTTTTTGTCTCAAAGAGTACTTTCTGTGCTCTACATTTCTCATTTCATTAAAGTGTGTAATTTCTCCTTCAGATCTCTGTAGGAAGAGCTAAGCATAACACAGATGAGGAGGAGGTACTGAAGTTAATCACAGAATAAGAACATAATCCAAGTTGGAAAGGTCTTCAGGAGGACTCCACTCTTACTTGGATAAGGTCAGAGTCATGTCCTAGGTCAGATCAGGTTGCCACTGGCTTTACCTAGCTGTTCCTTGAAAATGTCTCAGAACAGAATATGCAGATCTCTCTGGGCAACCTGCTCCACTGCCTGGCTGTTGTCATGATGGAAAAGATTTTTATGTTGTACAGGCTGAATCTCTCTTATCCATCATCCTCCCACCATGCTATGAAGAACCCAGCTCTTCACATTGATAATCTTCCTGTAGGTACTGGAGGGCTTCTGACAGGCTCTCCTGAGGCTGCCTTTTCCCTTGGCTCTACATTTCCAGCTGAGGTGCTCCAGCTTCTGATCATCTTTGGAGCACTGCCCTGAACTAAAGATGATTAAGTTGCCTTCAGGTACAGAAACAGAAAAGATTCATTAGTTCAGCCCTACAATCAGATGAGCCAGTTCTGGCAAGAATGACTTAAGCAAGGCTCTCTCACAGGATTGCACATTCTATATAAGATATGTCAAGTGTATGTATATGTCAGTTCTAGAATAACATCATGACATGAATATATGGAATTATATAGGTGAAACATTACCCTAATGAAACCACTGAACTACCACAGAACCATATTTTTCTCGGAATGTTCTCACAATCTTCTATAGATTCACTTTTAAACAGACACAATGAACTTTCTTTTTCACTTTCATTCTTGAATCTGAGATATCCTGAGATACTAGTAACAGCACAATGCACAATATATTTGTACATAGACATTTTTCATGAATACTTGAAACAAGAGATCAAAATGCAAGGTCTCTTTCTTTCCTACCATAAAGATACATTCTGAAAAGAAAAATTACTAGAAAACTGTTCTTTGCAGTGCAACTTCTCCCACTCCCTTTTCACCAGTACAAAATGCACATTTCAGCACACAGTATACCTTAGGCTGGGAATCACAAAGAAAACAAGGGGGAAAGGTGAGGAAAAAACCAAATTCAATAACCATATCAAAAGATATTTAAGCAAAGGAGGGGTATTAATTACCAAGTCCAACATTAAAAATCTAGCCTACACTAATGTCAATAGCAAAATCTCTCAATTTGTAGATCTGCAAGATCTAAAACAGAGGATTCATACACGTATTTGAATCGACTCTCAAACTGGGGGCATGCCTGGAGAAGGACTGCTGCAAATCAATATGCTAGACACAGAAGCCACCTGTAATACTTGGAGCTGAAATCTGCCAGCATGCTTCACTTAATAAGTGTCTGTCACGGCACTCACAACTTGGCAGCAAAAGTCAGACCTCTGTCAAGTGCCTCAAGTGTGATGTCCAATTCAATTACTAAAGGACACATTAAAATCCGGCTTATATGGTTAAGAAATAACAGCTACCTATTTTTATTTTGTGATTAGAATCTCCCCAGTCTCTTTAAAGAAAAACATTTTCAGCCTATTCAGTTTCAACACTCACATTAATAAGTTAATTTTCCTTAATAAGCAATCTTGAGATAGAAACTGAAAGCTTAATAAACTTGTTCTCTACTAAATACAAGATACGAAAATATAATCATATTAAAAAAAACCTTCTATTTTTAACTGTCATTGAGAAGAAATTATCTACTGTAGGTTTTCTTTGCACACTCTTCCCTGTATTCTTCAGATACATCATTGAGCAGGACAAATTCAGGGTACTTCTATTACCTATCAACAGTGGCCAAATTCACTTTAGTTTTGGGACAGAGTAATGCACTGTCTTTTCAGTGATATCAATAGGTCCATTCTGCTCACACTGCATGAGTGTTCTTCCTCCTCTCCTCCCCTGTCTCTCCCCTCCTTATCCTCCCATGCCAGGAAAGGAAGGAATTCTACTTTTCCTGCTCAAATATCCAATAATCATTTCAGACATCTGTTTCAATACAAAAAACTCTTCATAGAAGTCCATCTAAATGGCAAACCATTAGAGACTAAGATGATTTATTTTAGTTTAGTGCAGTGTCACTAGTTTAATAAAATAAAAAATAACTAAGGATTTGGGAAGTACTATGGCTTACCTATGTAAAAACTCACTCTCTTGCCAATACATTCTATCGCTGCTGACAGACATTAGAACATTCCTTTCATCTCTTTCCTCTTCTTGCAGTTTAAGCTATCCCCTTAAGGAGTATTTGCTTTCTCTAAGATAGATTATAAATTGTATGCAACATGAAAACCTTACACACTTCCTCTACCATCTGTAAGGCTTTTATTTCTACTTCTTAAAAAGGAATTAAGTCAAAAACCTTTTATATGTCTTTTTATTTTGGGTAAATAGACCAGGATTACTTTGCTGTAAGAAAATTAAAAGAAAATTATTGCTATTTCCAGATATGTGCATCTAAATAAGAGAAGCATTTTTTAATACAGTCAACCAAACATTCAAATCTACTGAAACCAAACGTGCAATGGAAACTGTAATAAAGAGCAAATATGGACCATACACATCCACACACACAAACACCCCTTCCATTCATGACAAAAACAGGATCTAATATGGGATTGGTTTCTCTCAAATAATTCTTTCTGCATCCCGGTGTGATTCCAGGATGTGCAAATTAAGCAAAATTTTATGGGTCAAATTCTTCTTAACACTACATGTGCTCAAGTCAACTGAAATTGATCCAGTGTCAGAGGGTGGAACTGGCACAGAAAATCACAATGTAAGGAGCTGTTCTTATAAAAATAGACATGACATAGTGCTTTGAATGGAGGAGAAAACAATTCTCAATGTGGCCTGGGAGAAAGAAAAGCAGAGAGAAGCAGAAAAATTGACTACAATAGCTAACAAGTAACCAGATAAGGATCAACTATCAAAACCAAGCCAACTGCAAGAATCTGTATGTTCAAAATGGCTCTGGTTGAACCTAACCCCTTTACAAAACTGTGTCTAATGGAAGGAAAGCTAGACCAGTTCCTAATCAATTTAGAGCTGTGAAGAGGAGAGACTAGTTTATCACTTTTGTATACACTTCTGTATTCTTTGAAAGTACAAAATAGCTAGTTAAGATTTCATTATGCAGAGCTTCATTAAGTCTTCAGTAAAAATTTTCCTCCTCTTCATTTTCTTTTTTTTTTTTAGTTCTTTTAAACAGAAATGTTCCTAAAAGAAGCCTGGGTACCTTGCAAAATCAAACTAAATCAAAAACAGATTCTCATATTTGTGTAGACGATTTAGCAGTAACATTTCTAACAGTGGGAGTTTGCAAATATTATCAAATTCATGTTCATGTTATGACAACTGACGGATGGAAACCAGAAGCTATTCTGACACACGTTTTAACCCATTTTTCTGCTACTGGAATGACTATGAGCACAAATGTCAGCCTGGTTAAACTTTTATTTGAGTGAAATGTGAAGATGCATCATATCCTCAGCTGAGTTCCGGAACCACTCAGGATGTCATGTAACATTTAATTTAGCAAAAAAGGATTAAACATCTAACCTGGAACAGCTATCTTCCCAGCTGTTGGATGATTCATTTCCATCACAAGTCCATTGTGCAGTACCTAGGAAAACAAAACAAAACAAAACATGTATGCAATATAAAATACAATCAATTCCTAAACTCAAGAGGGGAAGAAAGAGATAAACAGTATCATGCTCTTTCACAGACTCTGAAAATACAAGGAGCTACAACACAAGTAGTCTGCTTAATGTGTAAAATGAAAGCTTTGATGTTTGACATTACTTTTTGTTCATGCAGCTAAACAAATGCTTCACTAAGACTGCACATGTCTAAGATATCTGTAAACTCTTATAGTCATCATCAAACATAAGAAACTGAGCTGTAAGCACATCACACTTTCAACCACCAACAGACAACTGGTACCAACACAGACTGGCTATTAAAACCTTCACCCCCTTTCATACTAATCTGCAATATGTACTAAGGGCCTATACATAAACTATGTTCTCTTGTTTGTACTGTTAGTTTTAAGCTTGTGATGGATCATAATGGAAAATGCTGTCTTAATAGCTTTATCAAACATTTTGAAAAGATTAAATATTTTTTATGTTTTTTATATTCTTTTGAGTAGGTATGCCATGCTTGAGGCCCTGTGTAAATCTATATGTGATGATTATTCATCACAATTTTCAGATCCTTGTTATTAGCGTCAGCCAGAAAACAATGTGGGATACCAAAACTGTCAAGTAACAGAGAAAAAGATATTAATACTAAAACTCACTGCTTTTGTATATAATTCTGCACCCAAAACCACTAAACAATATTTATAACTTCTTTACCTATTATACTTCCATCCTTGTAGCACTGCTACCCTAATCATATAATCAGAATTATTTAAAAAAAATAAATAGCCACCCACTAGGCAATTATTTTCACATCCAGTGTAACAAATCTAGAATGTCTTGGAAAATGAATCAGCTATAGAAAATGAAATATGAGAAAACCCTTTTAAGTGATCATGTAATACATCTACCTATTCAACTTGCACCATGAACAACACTAGCAACCTTGAGTATTGATGACAAGTGTTGGTCTAATTAATCTTTAAAATTTCAAGATAATAAATTGAAAATTTTCTTATCTAATCTGTACCTTATTTTGCATTTTTATTACTAGAATTTTTTCTCCTGATACATAATCTAAGTGTCTGTCTATTAAATATTTTTATTCTCATCTTTTCCCCAAATGAACACAGAAAACCAATCACTATCATCTTTATAACATTCTTTTATGTACTGGAAGATTGTAATCACATCCTCCCTCAGTCGGCTCTTTTCTAGACTAAACAAAACTAATTCCTTTAACCATTCTTTCCAGGTCAAATTTTGTGAACCCTTTATCTGTGTAGAATAGCCTGCTTAAAAAATTCCCATTCCTGAACAGGTGGTGTCAAAAGGTCAGGTCAGCTTTCTCTTAGCTTGTGGGGGGAACCTATTTAGCTGACATTTAGAAATCCAGATATTTCCGATAATAGATGCTGGTGGAACAATGTCTCTTCACTAGTCTAATTGTTTGGCAGTATACCAAATCATTAGTTCTATTTCTCTTTCAGAAGGTTAAAGGCAATTTTGGTAGACATTCAAGTGAGACATCCAGATTTTTTTTTCCAAATGACAGAATTAGAAAATATAATTGCTTGTTTTAATTCATATTTAGAAACTTTCCAGTCATGCCCTTTATCAAATAGTATTGAAATTTTGGTCTCCTTTCTCCAAAACTTACTTACACAAGCTTGCTTTATGTATTTATTTGGTGTTTGGGACCTGAATGCAAGAAAACACATTCATTTGAACTTGAAACCACAGCAAGCTCAGGTGAATAAGCAGTTCTTTAGATAACAAGTTAAAGCATGTACCTAAAAGTGGTTCAATTTGGTTAAAGAAAAACATACAAACTGTCTAGCAGCTATTCAGGGCTCTACTAAAATCATGCTTTTCTCTGTTCTGAGTCTCTAAATTCTTATTCTCATAAGATAGATATAAATTGCTTTTAAAAGACTTTTTTGTTAGACTCAAATTCCAGATCTCTTTTCTTTACAGAATGAACTACAAAACCTCTGATCTTTGAGAATCACCACTATTCCTTTTAAAAGAATTGCTTAAGATGCAGTCAAGCTTCCTTATTATTTTCATTATTAGTACAGGGTTGAATTTCCCTCTCAGATATATATTATATATATATTAGATATATATATATAATATATATTCCCTACCAAAAACACTGAAATTTCTATTAATCTTATTTTCTACCGTAATTAAGCCTACATTGATATACTCAGTTCCAACTTTTCTTTTGAAGAAAACAATCACCAAGCAATGACTGGTCAACAACTGTGGATTTTTTTCCCCTACATCAGCAACACTGTTTAAAATAATTGTAATTTCCCATTCCATGCATTTCACTGTTATGATTCCCAAAAACAAATTCAAAAAAAAAAACAACCTTCACCAACTTCTCATGTGCATTCTTAAAAAACATGAAGGATTACTGCATTCTAGCCTTGATAGAATGTAACGTTCAAATCCTTTATCATCGAAGACGAGAAACCAGAGGAAAAGGTAACAGACACAACTCAATGGCTTTCTCCTCCATTGTCTTGTGTAGCTGAAATGGTCATGATGTTTCTGGTAGAAATAGATGGTAGAGTCCTCTATTTTGTCTGTATTCACCTGAGTTCATAATAAGGAACTGATGAACCAAGAGAATCATGAAAAAGATGATGGCAATCAATAGATCAAGTTTTTGAATGCTTTTTCCATATGGATTATTTTGCAGGGTAGAAATACTATATGATCTGTTACCACGTGACATTTTTCTGAATCAAATAATGTTTGGGAAGCATTTTACAGTGAGATCACTGTAAAGAAATCAGAAGCACAGTCTTCAGTCTTTCGGTAAAAACATTTTAAAACATATTGGAACAGTCTGGCCAGCAAGACTAGGGGAATTACTCTTCCCCTGTACTCAGCACTGGTGAGATGGCACCTTGAGTTCTGTGTCCAGTTCTGGGCCCCTCAATTTAGGAAGGACATTGAGGTACTGGAACAAGTCTAGAGAAGGGCAACAATGCTGATGGAGGATCTGGAGCACAACCCCTGTGAGGAGCAGCTGAGGTAGCTGGGGTTGTCAGCCCTGGAGATAAGGACACTCAGGGGAGACCTGTAACTACCTGAAAAGAGGCTGCAGTCAGGTGAGGGTTGGCCTCTTCTCCCAGGCAACCAGTTACAGGAGAAGAGGACAGTCTCAAGCTGCCCCAGGGGAGGTTTAGGTTGTAAATTAGGATGTACTTCTTCAAAGAAATGGTGATTAGATATTGATGTGGGCTGCCCAGGGAGGCAGCGGAGCCACTTTCTTGAAGGGGAGAAGTCCATTTTAAGGAAAGAATGAACCTGATATAGTTGACATGATGGTTTTCAGACTTAAGATCTCAGAGGTCTTTTTCAACCTAGTTGATTGATTCTGTGATACCATTTTATTTTATTCCAGATAAAGACATAATTTCAACTCTGATGACACATGTAATTAAACACCCATAACAACATGGTTTCTCTTAAAACTGCCAGCAAAGTTTCAAGTCTTCCTCTCTCAATTCTACCAAAGGTAATCTTCCAAATCCCGATCAAAGGAGATACTGGAATCAGAAAGATATCAAACCTCGTAGCTCCCACCTCCCTCCTTCCCAGATCCAAAAGCTCTATTTAATGTGGAGCTATGCACTAAAAATATGCATTTTTACAGGTACTACTCTTTCACAGATTCATCTAGAGTTTAGTGAAAAGGATTTTCAGGGCCACAAAGGAAATGATATAACCCTTTTCTCCATATTTTTGTAGCCACAAGATAGCTGGCTGTTGGTAAACATAATTACTACTTGCGCCTCTAAACCACAAAAAAGTAATAACAGTTTTCCCCGTACATGCTGAACATAGAGCAATGGCCATAATCACCCCTTGAAGAAGTAACAGCACATGTTGTGAAGAAAATGCCATATTGGAATTGCATCCCACATCCTAAAACTACCCCTTTCCCAATAAAAATATGTCAAGTCATCTGAAATTTGGAAAGGGTATTAAATATATCCCCCATCTGATGCCTGGTTCTACTTGGTCTTGTATTCCTAGAATGTTGTTGCACAACAGAATGGTTTGCATGTCAGCATGTTTTCCACCACCACGTTTTTTCCAAAGCAGAAATCCCAATATATTCAAGTCCTGTTGCAAAGTTTGTCTTTCATCACTATTAACTTTACTATTCTTCTTTTCAAAGTTTCTAGTATGCAGGGGTCACTTGGAGAAGATATTAGCTCTCTACTATATCTAAGTATTGCATTAATGAATCACATCTATCTCCACTTTACCTTCATCTATCTCTCATACCTGAAGTTTCTTACCATTTCATGAGACAGGGCATAATTTAATTTGCTTCCTTAACAAATTTTTGAATTAATAAAATCTGGTTTTGTTGTTTCCAACTGCCTATTAATTTACCTCTTTTCTCCCATTCCCTTACTCTGATGCAGTGAACACTGTATGTTAAAGTCTCTTAGGTCCCTAGCACCATGTCTGTGATACTATCTGAATACACACAGGAAAGTCACAGTTCATTGCAACGTCCTTATTCTGTACTGCTGCTTTTGTATAGGACAGTGTCTTACAGACTATTTCCTTCACCAAACTTGTTGGGGTTTTTGTGCATGTGAGGGGATGGCTTTGACAAAGTCACAGCCTCATAGCTATTTTCCACTATATGCTATAGACAAAATTACTTTTTATTGACATCCCTGGGGATAGGGTTTTGAGGCCTGACATTTTATCCTGATCCATGTCCATTATTCAAATACTTCACACTTTTCCACTGCATCTCTTGTTCTACTACAGAACACCTCACCTAGATTCCCTGTTGATTATCAGAATTTAATTTCAATTTCTTTACTTCTTTATCTTTTGTCCAAAGAGTTTTTATATCCTCTAGCCTAACAGTGGTCCTACAAACTAGCTATTGGCTCTTTAGCATTGAATTTAGGTTTTACAGTAACCATGA